TGATCTTATAATGAGAGATCGTAGCACAGCCTATCTGAAAGCATGTTATTCCAGTTATATTTTCAATATTGACACTTTTTCCTTTGGGCTTTATTTTACATATGATCTTATTTCAGCACAGTCTATCCAAATAGTCCTTTTGATTTCTGTTCTAGTTTGCTTCTCTGTTGCTGTAATGAAACACTTGACCAAAAGGAACTTGGGGAATGAAAGTTTATTTCAACTTACAGTACAGTCTACCATAGGGAAGTCAGGACAAGAGCTCAAGTAGTAACATAGAGGCAGGAACTGAAGCACAGACCATGCAGAACCATTGCTTACTGACTTGCTCCTCTGGTCTGTGCTCAGCCTGCTTTCTTAAACAACCCAGGACCACTAGTCCAGGAGTGGCTCCACCTACAATGGGCTGGACACTCCCACATCACTCAGTCATCAAGAAAATGCCTCGTAGTCATGCTTATAGGCCATTCTGATAGAGGAAATTCTCCAGTTGAGGTTCCCTCTTCCTGGGTGGGTCAAGTTAACAACTGAAGCTAACCATGACAGTCCCCTCTTGTCAACCGTGACACAGAAACACAGCGCTTTAAACCATAACTTTTCCTTACTTTGTCTACAAGATCTTACATTATTATCACTGTATAAAATACAGTGTTACCTTTAAAAGTTCCGCAGGGTTGACAAAAGTGTCAAGTTGACAACCAAAGCCAACCATGAGAGTATCCATGATTGATGCTGTTTATATCACACATTAGAAAAATAGTGTTCTTTCTTCATGTATGTCTCTCTGAAATCAGTTCTCCCTAAGGTATAAATTATTTAAGAAAGATAATATACTAATAAGCACTAGTTCTAGTGTACCAAATTATAAATTATTGAGAAAATTGAAAAATATGAGCCTTTTCAAAATTATTGAGCGTTTTGTAACTACTGAAATGGAGTTTTAGCTCTTCAGAAATGTAACAAGTTCTAACATTGAACTTCTCCCACACTGCTAGGTTCTAACTGACAGTATATGAGAATTTGCAAAACTAATTTGGAAATAAGAAATTACTTAGTTTCAATGCTACTTTTTCCTTTTCTTGATGCAGATTCCAATGGTATTACATCTTTTTGACACTCTGCATGCACTTTGCAATCTTCTAGTAGTTGCTCCAGATAATTTAAAGCAAGTCTGCTCAGGAGAACAACTTGCCAATCTGGACAAGAACATACTTCATGCCTTCGTACAACTTCGTGCTGACTATAGATCTGCCCGCCTTGCTCGACACTTCAGCTGAGGTTGAATTTACAAAGGAAATGTGTTGTATTTCAGAAGGCCACAGATGACAGAAAGCACAGGAGATTCTTTATGACCCAGCCCATATTTTGGGGGGCGGAAAAAAAAAAAAAGACTGAAGAAAACAGCAGCCATACTTACCCTGGAATTTTAATTGAAATTTTGGACACCACTAGCTACATTTTACTTTTTTTTTTTTTCCTATTAAGTTGAATTCCATACTTTAACTTATAAATATCAGATTCTGTAAAACTACATGTCACTGTTTTAATCTTGGAAAATGTTGGTGTCAGAAGGTAAATGAAATTTTATCTGTGGTCTACTAGTTCCTGGTCTTTACCATACTCTATCTGGAAATTTTACCATCCTGTTTGCATTAAAAATAGGTGAAGTGCAGTAAAACTACATTTATTATTCATTAGTTTTTAGTGAATCTTTCAACACTGGTGATTGTTAATCAAATTAATCTAGGTTTTCCTAACTTTTTATATCTTTAAAAGGGTAATCACACTTGAGCATAATTTCTGTTGGTAGTTGGAGTTTTTTTCTGAGGTACAACAGAGCTATTACAAGAAAAAATGTTATAAACTAAAATGATGAACTGTTTTATATAGATAGTAGGAGTGAATATATCTGCTTTCTGGGTTAAACTCAAAGTTTACTATTTCTTATTTGATAAATAGATTTTAAGCCAATTCTAGCCAATGAATTAATGAAACTACCTTATTTTATATTAACTTAAGATAAGGTAGAGGACTTTAAAGGACTGTGTTTGTTATTTCACTATTATAGTTGAAGTTTTTAAAAAGTGAAGTTTAGTATAAATCGTGTGGATGAGAACCATTGACATGGTTAGTCAATGCAGTCCTTTAAGGTTTGTATCTCAATGCTAACCTTGAGTAAGTAAGATGGGACGGCTAGACACACAGTGCTCTTCTATTTTAAGAGGAATTGGAAATTGTAGGTGACAGTATGATTCTAAGTTTGAAGGCAAGCTTTACAGAGACTGCTTTCTTTTCAGATCTGCGGATTCTTTAATTGTCCTTTTTCAAGGCATTTCTGGTTATTCCTACTTGGATAAGATTAATTGAATTGGCTTAATATGGTGACATAATAATCACTTATAAAATTTTAAACAAGTAAAAGTTTAGAAAGGCCACTGCTCTATAAACCCTATACAGTTGCTTTGCAAGAATACATTCTAAATATGTAGCCTGTTGTATTGTTCATAGTCTTCTAGGATCCAGGTGAATGTAACGTTTGGTTGATTCTTAGCATTTTTTTTTTCCTATAATGTAGACTTTTTGGCCTAATTTTGGAAAATCTTTTTTCTAAGAACCTGATTTTGAATAGTTACCACCTTTACCAGGATTCAGCACTAACTGCTGTTTAAGTTACTGCTGACTGGATTTTCCTTTTCTGTTTACCCCAGTGTTATCAAAGTAAGCGAAGGCAGTGAAGTGCTGTGGCTTCTGTCAATGCTCTTCAGGACAGTGTGGCAGCTGCAGAGGGCTTTCCGGATGTCTGCTCTTCAGACAAGGAACAGCCAAAACAGGTTTTGGATACTAGTAGAAATCATGCTTGATGCCATTTTAGAACTTCTGATGTGGATTCAAATTATACCTCTACTACTTAAAGCCAACAGTTTTAAGGCAGTAGTTTTACTGGCCATTTGAACTCTTTCTACAGTGTCAATTTGTTTAAAAAAAAAAAAGAAAAGAAAGAAAAAAATTCTCAAAACCTACATTTTAAGACTTCCAATCAGAGAAGTACTTCAGATTATTTTGTTTGATTTTTTTAAAATGTAAATCAGATACTTGTTGCTTAGATATTTTGTTAATTATTATTCCCATGTTTGAGTTCTGTGCAATATTTTCCATTATGTCCACTGGCAGGATAATGACAAAATTCATAAATGAATACTGAATTTAGAAGTGTTAACATTAATGCTCAATAAACAAATTCCCTGCAGTTGTTTTTTTTTTTTTCATTTCATTCTATTGTATTTTAAGGACATCCATACTGAATAATCTGAAGT